AATTTAGATCCACATGTAAAAACCATGTAGCCTGTCATATTGGGGAGGCCTTTATGCCAATTCAACCGTTTCAATAAAGCTGGATGAATGTCTAAACCTTTCTCAATGTCAAAATCTCTAGCTGAGAAGATCTCACTGAAACAATCGACAGTTTTATTACCAGCTTTTAATTTAAAGATAGCATACTCTTTTTCCGCTAAAATATCGATTGGAGGACATCCAGCCAAAAATCTGAAGAGCTACTGTTGAAAGAGTTTTGGATTTTGCAAAATTTTCTTACGCATTCAGACCGTTCCAGTCCACCTTGCACCGCATGCATACAAGATCTTTCTCTCGATAGCTCTTTTATCTAAACTCTTAATAACTTTACCTTGGAGATTCATTTTACTAGGTCTATTAAGAATATGGGTGCATTCGATCTTTATTTGATTTAGGTGAGGTATAAAAGTGAGCTTTTCATTGATCGTAATGCCCAAATATTTGATTGTCTTAGAAACTCTTAATTGGTTGTCCATACAGTTTGCACCTAGGATGTATTGATCTAGTATTAGTTTTGGCAATACCCAAAAGAAAGCTCTTCTTTGGATCAAATTGAATTTAATATGGAAAGACCACTTCTCCTAAGCTTGTATACTAACATTTTGTCTTAAGGTTATGTTTAAAGCTATACTAGCAATAATATTCCACAAAAGTGGACCAGATATTGAGCCCTGGGGACAATCCCTTTGGTAATTTCTGTGATGCCACTTATTACCAACATATAAGGAAACTTTTCTTTCATTAAGAAAATCACATATTAATAAGAAGATATTTCTTGGACATTTCATATTATTTTTTAATTCCTATAACAAAATTGGCCACCAAACATTGTTAAAAGTGCTCTTTACATCTAAGGATAAAATTGCAGTATGTTCACCAGTCCCTCTATTTCGAAGGATGTCAGAAATTAAATTATCTATAGCCTGGGTAGTAATTTTACCTGGCATAAAAACAAACTGATTTTTATTTAAAAGATTATTTGATAATAAATAATATTGTAACCGTTGTGTCATGAGTTTATCCAGCACCTTGCATCACGAAGGCAGTAAGCAAATGGGGGCGAAAAGAAGAAGGATCTTCTTTATCCTTTCTTTCATTGTTGAACAAAACCAAATCAGCCTCTTTCCGACAGTCAGGAAAAATTCATTACAAACACATTTATTCAGAATAGCTACAAAGAACTTTTTATTACATACAAAGATTTCTAAAATAGTAGCCACTGTCAGACCATCTTTACCGGGAGCTTTACCTTTAACTTTTTAATAGTAAATACCACTTCAAAGTAAAATCAAAATCATTTACGATCTCTGGAGGTATCCTACTATCTGATCTAACTTGATAATGACATGATATATCACCATAAATAGTATCACAAGGAAAATGATATTGTAGAAGGTAATTTACTGTTTTGTCTATATTCTTAGCACAAGATCCATCTTGATATTTCAAAGAGGTAATCTGAAAAGCTGGTTTATATTTATTAACAGTAATATAATAAGAAATGCCAAAAGGCTGATGAATATTCAAAATGTCACATAGTTGTTCCCAAGCACAATTTTTACTAATGTTGATTTCTCGTTTACATTCAGCTAATTTCTTCTTATATTGAATCTTTAACAAATTTTTCTCAATACGATTGTAACATCTCTGAAACATCTTCGATACAGTCAAGCTTGACTTCTTAAAACAAGTTTATCGGACCACCAATGCACCTGTTTACCCAGAACATTGCTCTGTTTAAACTTGTGCATCTTATTTTTCTTACTGATATCCACTATTGAGTTAGTAAGAGCTTTAATATAAATATTGAAATCAGAAATATTTTCTAAATTTTCTTTGGAAACTTGATTTATTAAGTTATACAGTTCTGCACGAAAATTTAGGCAATTCAAATCCCAAATATAGAAATGTTCAAATTTCTTCTCTCTAAGTAAGTTGTTTAAAAGTCCAATCTCAATGTAGTGATGATGATATATCCATAGAAACAGACCTACATGATATATCCATAGAAACAGACCAATTCAAGACAAACGAGATCTTACAATGGCAAGATCTATCCAGCTTTTGCCTCTGGCTCCGGAAAACATAGCCAGGCTATCAGGACTATTAAGAACATTCAAATTATTTGTCGAGCAGAATTCAATTATAGCATCCCCTTTTGGATCTATTGAGTGATCATGGGACTCAGCATTGAAATCTCCGCAAATAATTATTTCCGAGTCTTCATGCAAATCAATAATACTGTTAATACAATATAAATAGTCACTCAAGGTGTCATTGAGGGGGGGACAATACACTGAAACAAAAACTATGTTTCTATTATTAATGATCATTTTAATTGCCACTATATTCGAGGAAGCATACAAAAGCATTGCCGGAGAGCTGCCAAACTGAACAATTGCTGCTCGTGGACAATTTTTGTCACAAAAAGTTTGAAATTTTCTTCGGGATGCCCCAAACTTTATTATCCACTACATAAGGTTCTTGAATCAAGACTATTTTATAGCCTCAGCCTCTTTCAATTAATTTAATAAGCTTTTAAGCTGTGGCGTGATGTAAATTTATTTGAACCATTTTAACGACTTTGTCACGTCTACTAGCCATAATTAGTACAACTGATTAAAAGATCCATTTATCATTTGTGACAATAACAATTTTTACCTAAACTAGAATGATTAACGCTAAGCTTCAATTTATACGTTTCATTTGCCTCTTTGCAATTAATACATTTTGGAGTAGCTTTACACTCCCAATGTTTATGTCCAACTTCACCACAATCAGCACATATTTGCACTTCTAGGCATTTTGTTTGAAAGTGCCCATACTTTGACACTTAAAACATTGGGTTACTTTTAAAAATTCTTTACTTCTAAGATGAGACCATCTTATGTTAAGTTTTTCTGCTTTTATAAGTTCTCTATATTTCTTAGCATCTACACTGGCAACCCAGTGTACTTTAGTATTCTTACCTTTTATCAAAAATTTTAAGTCAAAACCAACATTTTCAAAGATCATATTTTGGTCTCTAATCATAATCTTAAGATCATCTTGAGACTGATCAGAATCTACATCATAAATAATAATTTTTGGATCTTTCTCAACAGGACATTGAATTATCATATCGTTTCTACGCAAATAATTCGTTTTAACCTCTGTTTCCAAGGCTTCAATATCAGAGGCTTTGGAACATTCTATTATAACACCTCCTTTATTAATTTTTCTTAGTCTTCTAACACCAATGTGTAATTGGGTGGGATTAATTGAGTTAGAAATTTTGTTTTTGACCTCCTCGGAAGTAGTTCCTTCCTTTTTTGGATAGAGTAGAACTGCGAATTCTTTGGACCTATTTCTACTTGTAGATCTATCTCATATTTTCTGTATTATTTTCTGAGGGAAACGTTTTGGATCTGCCACTGCGGCAAAATGAAAACGGCTGAAGATTTGATAACATTTTTGTTTGCTCTTCAAGCCTTCCCTCAGGGATGGCACTATCAAAAGTTTGTGTAACCAATAAATCATAAATTTGATATGCCATAGAAATAATTTTTCCTTTTGAAATACTCTTGACTTTACTTGAGTCTAATACAGTTTCTAAAGAATTTAAAATTGTTCGTCCATCTGCTAATAAAGCAGTAGACTCAACTTGTTCTGTCTGAATTTCTTGACAAATTTGTAAAGCCATTATCCAACCAGTACCCTTTTTAAAATAATAGAATAATCTAGAAATCAAACGTACTTACAGTTTGGTGATCATTTCAGACCTCTTATATCGTAGAAATAGAAATCCAAAAAGCAAAGCCAAAGCATGATGAGCCACATAGACACACAAAAATGCAAACATCCATAAGTTTGTCAAATAGTCTCAGAAGCATAAAGTGTGATATAATATCACAACCAGAACATAATTAGCTTCAAAATATCGCAATAATGCTATAAAACAGTATTTACCAAAAAAATAGCATATTTTCAGGAGCTGAAGAAAGCACAAACCAATACGATGTAAGCATGCACACAAACTCATCATCTGGATGGTGTGCGAAACTGAGGACATTCCACTACTATAGCATAACTTCCATGCAAATGTAGTTCTGTTGACCCATTTGGACTGTAACAATGCCCTGCAGACATGTTTGCAAATGGTATCAGCAGATGTCACCATTTGTAAAACGACTAAAGCAAGCAGGGTGGTTAAATCACATGATTGCTAGACATTTGGGTGATGGTAATTCTACTATTTGATGATGTTGGCAAGAATGGGAGCAGCATGGCTGCACAGAGCATCAAGAAGGCAGCAGTTAATGAAGAGCAGTGACAGAATGATCATCCAGTCAGTGCTCACAGCCTCTGATGTGCCCTTATCAAACATTTGTGTAACCAGGACACCAGTAACTGCAAAGACCACAGATAGGCGGCTGAGGTCACAGAAGCCATTTCTGCTAACTGCTTCTCACTCTTGCACACAACAAAGCATGTCTTCAGTGATGTCACGGACATTTGACCTAGGATCTCATGGAGTAGAACTGTTTTCAGTGATAATTCCCACTTCAAACTAAGCCCCAATGACCAGTGAAGATGTCTGGAGATTTCCAAGACAGCAGTGAAATACTGTCACCTGTCACACAGCCTGACGACCACGATGAACGGCATGGGGTGCTATTTCATTTCATAGCCAGACCCCTTTGGTTGCTATTCATGACACTCTTACAGCATGGTGGTACATCAACACAATTCTACATCCCATAGTGTTGCCCTTCCTTTCACAGACTCCTGGGCAAACATTGTACTACTATAGCATAACTTCCACGTGTGGCGAAAATGCCTCGCCACTCATGGCACATCTTTCTGCTTGCCTTCATGCTTTTCCAACACTTCCCTAGCTGCATGATTGCCAGATCTCTCCTTAATAAAGCAAGTTTTGTGATAAGCAGGCATATGATCATCCCCGGATGACACCAAGCTAACTCAGCAATTGGAACATGTCTGACAAACATCCTTCCTAACAGACATCTCTGACCATCTGGATCACAACAGTCTCAGCAATTGGAACATCTATGATAAACCATCTCACAGAAGGACATCCATCAACTTTGTAAGTCAATGTCTAGTTGGGTAACAGCTTGCACGAAGGCCAGAGGTGGGCTAACACATTATTGATTTTTCGATTTTGCTTTTGTAGCTGTACTTCCTGAATAACCCATTCAATTCCTGGGATACTGTTAGTGTTTTGTTTTCAATACACATAGGTCACATCTAACAATTTTCGTCCCATTTGGATTAACTCCTTGGTGCATCGTTTTTAATATTATATAGAGTGCATATATAAATGGCAAGCAGAAGTAATAAGGATAATTATATAAAAATAAAACTGTCAAACTTCATAAAAATGTCATGATGAAATTTGCCAAATCTTTCTTCATGCCATGCACATACTTTTAATGAATGATACCTAGATGCTTATTAAGTATTACATTATAATATTTCATATAGAGCACACATAAATTTCATCTGTATTAAAAAAACTGCTAATCAGATCAAAATTTAAGATTTTTCTAGTTAATATTGCTGAACAGCATAAAAATAAAGCATATATACATTTTTTCCAAGACTTCATAATAGCAAGAATTCTAAACAATACAGATTGCAATCTGAGTTTGTCAGTTTTTATCTTCATGGAGAATGTAAAATAAAACAATATCTTCAACTGCTAACAAAACAACACAAATAATGCATATGCTCCAGACTTCCAATTTGATTATGCAAATCAATCTTCTTTAAGAATGGAATCATGGTAACTATGTAACTTGTGCAATATTTCTCCACTGACAGCAACAAGTTACTAAAGACGCTATGGCCTAGTTTATATTACTGACATAACATTTTCTCATTTCATCATCATTCATCTACAGAATTCAAACCTCTACTTGCATCAACTGCATGTATCAGTTTTTGTCTTACCTAAACAAATAAAAAAATTATCATTAGTTGGCATATAAAATTTTTTCAACTTTACTCATTAACAGAGACTTATTTAATGGAAATTAAACTTACATCTCAATGTTTAATGCATTCTCTCTTCATAAACGCTGATAAAAATTTTTAAACATTTTAATTTCATACACAACCACTAACTTAACTTATAGTTCATGACTGAAACCTACTGTAAAAGATTTAGATTACAAATTCCCAAATACTTATGCACAGAAATCAAACAAAGCAGTTATAATATCTTTCCTTAAAAACCACTGTAAAATCCCATGCAATCACAGCAGAAATTTCTCAATTTCAACAAGTCATTACACTTAAAATGACCCTTTTTAAAATACACAGTAGAGTATCTATTAAAAATGTTCATGTTTCTGCTAATTTACTGATTAGAATTTTAAAAAAACTCTTTAAATCTGTTTAAAATGTTTAAACCAGTAAATCACAAAAATTACGCCAATGTGGCAATTACCAATTACTGTGGCAATCCAAGCTCACAACACTTAATAATTTTATAAGTACTTATTCATATAAAATCTATTTGAATAAGTTTTTTTTTTTTATTTTAACCTAATAATAAAATTTAACACAAAGCATTTTAGAAAAAGGAAATTTCTCACATGATGATGTCAAAAAGACAATTTATGTTTTGACTACATGTTATTTTTTTAATGCAAAATACAACTGTTGGCAATCAAATCAAATTTTTGGCAATTAAAATATCAACCTATCAAAAGTATCCCTTAGTCAATTAACATTTATTAAGCAATACACTCATATATATCAAAGGTACTATAATAAGAAAGAATCAAAGAAATTTCAATGAAATATTACTCTCTGAAATGAAATTTTTATTTAAATGACAAAGAGTGACACACAATTTCAACAAAATTTACCTTTAATCCATGTATATTGATTTAAATGTCAAATATTAGCAGATAATGTAAGCATTTATCAAGTTTGATGATACCTTGGGACAATAAAAATACTACACTTGCTGAATAATATAGCCATCTTTTCCAGCAAAAAAAAAAAAAAAAAAAAAAAAAAAAAAAAAAAAAAAACTTTATGTACTCAGGCATTAACTAACAAAATTTGGAACATTGCTACAAGAATAATCATTCCTATTACAACAGTGTTCATAATTCCACTCCAGGTCTCATTTCTAAATTCCAGAATGTGCCCTTTTTTTTTTTTAACAACTACCTGTAAAAGATTCTAATGTGTTAACTTTAGAGACTTTGAAGGCCACTATGCCTGGACAGGCAGTGACTTGATGGTGAAGTACTGTCCTGTTGAAATAAACCATCTCATTAAACAAGGACATAAGCCACGGAAAAGTTTCAGTGATCAGAAGCAAATTAATTGCATATCTCCAATCACACTACAAATATAATGTGGCCCAAATGTCTTATCACTCCATTGCAGTCTAGTAATAGCAAAGTCATATGTATCATTTCGTCTGCTTTATATGACATGAAATTGTACTAATCTGTGCACAGAACTCAATCAGTCCACTTTGCAGTCTAGTTTTAATGTTCTCAGTAATAAGCAACGTGCAATGTTTGATAATGAGTAGTCAATATTAGTATACAAATAGAACATCAATATCCGCAATGCAAACCACACCAACTGTTTGCTATTATTTGTTGATACTTCAGTACTGAGAATAGATATGATTTAAACAACTGTTTCCCTTCAATCAGTAACGTCTGGAAAAATCCAGGCTGACTGGCCATCAACACTATGTAGGCAGCTCCTGTTTGCCAGGACACAACAGCATCCATAAATGCCATATAAAGTAGACTTCATACAGTAACCCACGAGAACTCATCTGCCCCTTCAGAAAGACTCTGGACATATCTGTTTTGGGTTAAAAATGCATCCTTAATCAATTGACTACAGTCATAACATTTCTTTGCCTTTGATGACTGCAGTACAACTTCCAGAAAGTTTGATTTTAGCCCTATTTACAACTTGTTAAGTTTGGGTGCATTCTACCATGCTTGAATCTGCAACATTCTTCTCATCAGTTCTGCCGACAATTTCTGATTTGAGTGGTAAAAAAATGGCAATTAATTATCATGCAAGTCCTGAACATATAAAAAGAACAGCACTCAAAATTACATTTATATTAATATGAACTGGCATTCACATATATATATAATTAACCATCATTAAACTGTCATCCCAGTGGATCAGTCAAAAATATGCTATAAGTGGCATTACAGTAAATGTGGATGAACAAAAGTTTTCATTTCAGAAGAGGCCAAACATTCTAGGATCAAAATAAGATGTATTTAATGATTCTAACTATTATTAAAAATATATTCATGCAAGTACTATTTCTAAATGCACACTACACTGCTACTTAATTAAACGCAAAAAAATTAAAAATTAAAGGCATTTTACAGATTCAGAATTAAACTAAAAAAAATTTAATGAATGCTTTGGTTTCATACTGGTTTCTTACCTTTCACTTTTATTTCAAATTTTCCCTCTATTGTAAAACCTTTGTCATCTAATTTTTCATAAGAAATTTAAAACACTTTAACAGCATTTATTGCAGTTATAGCATCTTTATACATTAGCACTTGATCTAATTCGCCATCACTTTCATCAGTGGACTGGGGACAGATTACATTTTTTATTTTGGAAAAATATTTGGCATCTTAAACTTCTCCAAAGTTCACAATTATTTCACTGTGAACAGATATATATTCATCCAAATCAAATTTTTAATTTCATTTATTTAGCTTATAGCATAAACTCAATAAAGAGCTCTCACTCTCTTTGGGACTGTCATCTAAACAATTTATTTTGAAATCTGCATGTCTGAAGCAACTGACAATAGTTTTGGTGGAAATCATGCTCCAATTTTTCACTATGCAGAAAATCACATCAAGCATAGCAATGGAAAAGGAAGATTTATCATCAAGGGCAGTTACAAAATTCTCCAGGAAGTTTTCTATAGTTCTAATTTAAAATGACAAATAATCCCTTGCTCCACAGGCAATACACTAGTCACATTTCACAGTAAGTAGACCATTTTTATGGCTTCTAAATTGCTTACTCTGATGTGAACTGAGCATTTTTCAATTACTATAGCTATTATTCTACCTTTCTGCAGCATCTAAATTCTCAATACAGTACAAAGTCCAAGATCTGGACGTCCGATATCCAGAATGATCTAAAATCCGGACCTCAAAGTCACCAACAAAAGTTTTTTAAAGAATTTTTTTGCATGCACATTTGATTTTCCCCCTATAATAAAACATGTGGAGAGTTCTTATTCTTAATTTCACTTTGGCACTAAATAAAATACCTCGTTATTTAAGAAACAACAATTTTAGCACAAACTTGTATGATCAATAATTTGGTTCTGTAGTTGCATATCTAGCATACATCTCCAATCAAACCACTCTATACAGAAACATCATTAATTTTACACTATTTTAATATTTTATATCCCTGACGGCAACCTGTCGAATCATTATTATATTTTGCTTTTATCAACAATGATAATTTGAGTAATGACTTGTCCAGCAGTGCCTAATATTTTTTTTAATGTACAGTACAAATTTCGAGAACTGAAGTCAGGACTTCGGAGATTCCGGATTTGTGGTTTTTCTGGATATTAGATCATCAGTTTAAATTTAGTAAGATGGCATGTAGAAATTATAAAATTAAAAATATGAAATCGTGATTTATGAAATAATGAAGTATGTATGATCTAAAGGCTATCAAAATTTACAAAAGGAGCCTAATATTTATTTGTTTACCTTATTAAACATTTCTTCAATGTAAGTTGTTTAAGTTGCTCTGTTTTTTGCTCTAACACTTTCTCTTTAATTCTGTAGACAGACATAATCTGTTGTTCAGCTTCCTTGTTAAAGTCCTGTTAACTGCTGTTTTGAGAATTCCAACTTACTCGTCAATTGAAATTTTCTCGTTTTTAGTAACTTTTCTGTCATTTTCTTCACTATCAGTAGCGGTATTGGATCTAGAACTATGTTACAGATTTCACCATTCATTAATTGATTGATGATTGAGAAGCATTGTCATCACAATGAAAAACTTCTTTTATATCATCTTCATTTATTACCGCTTCTTCACATTTCTTTACAAAATCTGTTAATTGGAAAATTTCACCTTTGTTTTGCAATATCCGAAAACCTTTATAATTAGCGGCTATCATCATCAAATTTAGCTATCCTTCACTATACGTATTTGCATCATGAGCTTGGCGACTAACAACAAGTTGTTCCGTTAAATTTTATCTTCCTTCTATCGTGCACTGAGACAATTAAGCCTGAATGGTATTAGTTTAGTTATTTATTATACTTATGTCTATTTCTTGCATGCTCCAATTTTTCCAATTGAGGCTTATCAGAGTACTGAATAAATAAATTCGCACATATACTTAAGCCTTATTGAGGGCCGCTAGGTATCTTACTGCCTGATGCAGTCTCTGTGGGTCCTAAGTTCAGTGACTCAGCGACGCCATACAAGCCCTGGTGCTGGTTCTGGGTTTATGTGAATAACAAATCAATTATTCTTAATTCAAATAGCCCTAAATGTAATCTTCGGGTCAATGAGAATCATCAACAAAATCTATTTTTAGCATACGGAAAGAAATTTTTGGTAAATTTTACCTCATCAACATTTTTTAGCTCATTTAACTTAAATTTGTAATGATTGCCAAGCGTCAAGTCAACATAAAAAAAAAAAAATTGTTTAGGCATTGCTACATGAGTCATTACTTAAGTTCTCATGTTTTGATAAACATGCAGTGATGAAAGGAAATTATAACAAATAATGATTTGCCAGGTTGGCATCAGATCAACGATGTATCTATGTGGAATGTTTCGGTTTGAGATGTGTGCCAAGCAGATACTCAGCAACGAAGCCAAATTACTGATGGTACAAATTTGTGCTAAAATGATTGTTTATTCAAAAACAAGTTATTTTAT